TAATGTTGTTATTCCGTTAGTATATTCTGGCCCTTTGATGAATTGTATGAACAGATTGATAAAGCAGCAATATTTGTGTTTAAATTGACAATTCGTTCAAATATACCAAATATTGCTAGACTGCAATATATTTACTTGATTTCGTTCATAGAAACATGATATGCCAATGGAATGCTCAAAATTCATAAGATGTCTTCTTTTTCTTTTTGCGATGAACTTGATATCAAACGAATCAGTTCATGGAAATGTGTTAGAGTGATTTTGATAGGTAAAATTGATGTGCAGAATAGCTAAAATTGACGTTTCGTTGTTTTTGTTTGATTTCATTCTTGATTTGTCTGAAATGGATCTGATTAAATTAAGGAAATAAACACGTTTTTCATCACTTCTAATGATAATGTGGATGACTCAACCCATATGTTTTAAACCTGTAATTCAGTTCAGATGAGTCACGAATTTTCTCACACAAACCTGGACTATCAAAAAAACCTGTTATAGAACATATGGATTTAATAAATAGAGTGATTCAACCAGTATCATCATGTAGACAGATTGATTATTAATGCGAATTAGATATCATGATAATCAAGACGTATGTTTAAGTATGAAGTACTTTAAATTGTATTTTGATGGTTGATATCACTTTTGGTCTTTCTGTTTCATTTTAGCAATAAATTCATCTCAAAAATAGTTTATGTGTCTCTCGTGTTAATTGAATTTGAGAGACGTTTATGTCCCAGCATGAATTTATTTTAGCATAAGACATGTCAGTTTTTGAACGAGCACTTTCGTTTCTTGCAATTGCCTTATTCTGCCTATTTATATCTATCATTAGACTATTATATAATTTGGTTTATAACCTTAGAAGGTTGCTGAACATACCTGCAGTGTCAGAACAGATTGATCAGTGAACATCATTCAGTGGGTTCATCTTGTAATATCACACATCAAAGCTGCGATATATTAATTTGTTGTGTTTTCAACAAAGCGATATACGAATGAAATACCTAAAGTGCACAATATTTCTTCTTTTTCTTTTACTTTTTCTGCTTCGAATTAATCGATCTTGTTTCTCTAAATATAATATAGAATCATTCTGATGAAATCCATGTTTATACAATAATATTAAAGTGATACTTTCTTTTTTATTCCATCACTGACTGGTTCTGACTGGATCATAAAACAGGACGTAAGTATTCCATTCGTTACTATGCCTGATGATGGCATTGCTCTCTTCATCCAAATGTTTCTCTTCAGATAAGTACTTTACAAATTTGATATAGACATTATGAAGTAAATATTAACAAATAACAAATACATACTCTCTATAGCATTGAACTATTCGATAATGTTGTTATTCCGTTAGTATATTCTGTCCCTTTTTTTAATTTTAAGAACAGATTGATAAAGCAGCACTATTTGTGTTTGAATTGACAATTCATTCAAATATACCAAATATTGCTAGACTGCAATATATTTACTTGATTTCGTTCATAGAAACATGATATGCCAATGGAATGCTCAAAATTCATAAGATGTCTTCTTTTTCTTTTTGCGATGAACTTGATATCAAACGAATCAGTTCATGGAAATGTGTTAGAGTGATTTTGATAGGTAAAATTGATGTGCAGAATAGCTAAAATTGACGTTTCGTTGTTTTTGTTTGATTTCATGCCTGAATTGTCTCAAATGTATCTGATAACAGTAAGGAAATAAACAAGTTTTTCATCACTTCTAATGATTATGTTGATGACTCAACCCATATGTTTTAGACCTGTAATTCAATTCAGATGAGTCACGAATTTTCTCACATGAACATAGACTATCAATAGAACCTGCTATAGAATAAATCCATTTAATAAATAGAATGGTTCAACCAGTATCATCATGTAGACAGGTTGATTATTAATGCGAATTAGATATCATCCCAATCAAGACGTATGTTTGAGCATGAAGTACTTTTAATTGTATTTTGATGGTTGATATCACTTTTGGTTTTTTTTTTTCATTTTAACAATAAATTCATCTCAAAAATAGCCTAGATGTCTCTCGTGTTAATTGCCTTTGAGAGACGTTGATGTTTCTACATCAATTTATTTAAGAATTAGACGTTTTAGTTTTTGAACGATCATTTTCGTTTCATGCAATTGTCTTATTCTGCCTATGTTACTATCATTAGACTATTATATGATTTGGTTTATAACCTTAGAAGGTTGCTGAACATACCTGCAGTGTCAGAACAGATTGATCAGTGAACATCATTCAGTGGGTTCATCTTGTAATATCACACATCAAAGCTGCGATATATTAATTTGTTGTGTTTTCAACAAAGCGATATACGAATGAAATACCTAAAGTGCACAATATTTCTTCTTTTTCTGTTACTTTTTTGGTTCGAATTAATCGATCTTGTTTCTCTAAATATAATATAGAATCATTCTGATGAAATCCATGTTTATACAATAATATTAAAGTGATACTTTCTTTTTTATTCCATCACTGACTTGTTCTGACTGGATCTTAAAACAGAACGTAAGTATTCCATTCGTTACTATGACTGATGATGGCATTGCTCTCTTCATCTAAATGATTCCCTTCAGATAAGTACATTACAAATATGATATGGACATTTTGAAGAAAAATTAACAAATAACAGATACATACTCTCTGTACCACTAGAAACAGAAGTTTTAACAAAACAATCAAGCGAATCATTTTTCTTTTTCAACTTGATATAATTTTACTGATGATTCTGCCTTTGAACTATTCGATAATTTGGTGATAACTTAGTAGATTGCTCCACTTCCAAGAATTTTAAAAGCAGATCAATCAAACGACATCAATTTATTCTTCTTGAATTATCAATTATCTACTACTTTTCGAAAATAACTGATGATCCGTTGAGAATAAGAATCTGGCATTAAATATATTATTACATCAATTTTTATCTCATACAAATAACAAAGCCAGACTGTAATATATTTGTTTGATTCCGTAAGTAGCAAAATGATATACCAATGAAATGCCTAAATGTCATAAGATGGTTTCTTTTTTTATTTTCTCTTCTCGATCAACTTAAATTCAAAGGAGGGATGCTTTTTCTTGAAATGTGACAAAATTATTCTGATGGAAAACATAAATGTAAAGCAGAGATAAAATGTAATCATTTTGATTACTTACCTGGCTTGTTATTATTAGATTGAATAACAGTTCGGGATCAAATTCTTTTTCAATGCTATTAATGTACACCTGACTTAATCATGGGCTAGCAGTCAATACCGATACAAAACAAATACGTATCATCTATAGCTTGGTTAAAAGGAAAAATTACCATCAAGACATGTCGAATAATTAATGAATTTCGAAATAGAATACGATAATGGAATGCCTCAAAAACGGCTTGTATAAAATTTTCTTTTCAATGAACTGGAAAGTGAAAAGCAAAGGAAAATATGCCTGAAATTTGAAGAATTTTTGATAGAGATATTTTTCTGGTGTTGATTTTTCTTTCTTTTTTATACATAAGTGTACTTGACCTGTCATGATTGGATCTTATATCCGTGGGTAAGTAAACTATTCTTTATCACTGCTTATTATGCTGTTGATGACTAAATCGATATTTTTTCATCTTTCATTTAATTCTCTTGTTCTCACACGAACATTTGACTATCAATAAAACCTGAACAGATCCATGTAATAACCAATGTGGTTTAAACGAGAACTTCATATATAAATGAAGAATGATTAATGCGAAATAGATCAAATGATAATCAAGTTTTTGAATGAAGTAATTGTATTTTTATGACTAATATGACTATTTCTCCTGTAAATTCTTCTCCATTGATAGGTTAGGTATCTCTCGCGCAAATCGCATTAGTGTGAGTATCATGTTTTCAAATATATATTCTTTATATTAGATGTATAAGTAGTTAAACGAATATTTTTCTGACCTTTCTCTTCTTCAATTTTGATCATTCTGCTATTACCGTGTCAATCTGCCTATAATGCTTGAGTGTAAAATAGTTGTGATATTCAAACAGATCTGAAGTAATGTCAAGCTACGGGTTAATTTTGATATAGCTATAAAATAATATAACGACCAGATCTTTTACAATTTTTTTATCATTTTTATTCAATTTACGTTTCCTTCAGTAGAACGACGCAAGTGGGTAAAATGGTTATTTAGATTGAATACAAATTCTAATATGATGTTATCTCATGATGGGAAACAAAATTAAGCTGTTTTAATGGTACTATTAGAAAACGCAGATTGTTAAACCTACTGTATTTGTATAATCTAGTCGCAATCGATCATTACATAAATATCACGTGTCAGTGTCACTTTCGAAATTTTCACATCATAAGATATTTTATTTGGATAAAACACGTTTACGGTTATATGATATTGCAAAACTAGTCAGAATGAGACAATTTCAAAAGTGAAATACTCAAACAATAGAATAAGGGAACAGATTATCGTTACAAAGACAGCTAGGTTTTTATACCTAACCCCCAAAAAATTGAAATGTGAAAAAAAACACGAAATTCTTCGGTAAAGGGTTGATAAGACAAGAACGTGTTGTATGGGAATTACTTAAAAATGAAATCCATTGAACAAATTATTATTTCATTTATGTTCATTTTTTTGAGCTCTCGTATTTGAAAAAAAAATATTATATCAAATAATATTGTGTCCTTGTTTTATGGAATTTGAGCTTGGATTATGATTATGTTGGCATGTTTGTATTTTTTATTTATATCTGTATAGACGTTTTAGTTGGTACTCCTTATCCGCGTATATTTGAATAAAATATAATACCTTTGTTTGTATATAATATTACTGCCTCTCCAGTTGGAGATATACAAGTCGTGTATGGATATAAAAACACTTTTTGAAATGTGCTCAATTTCTAATTTTGAATTTGATTAGCAGGAAATTGTTATGATACCTGTAAGGTGTAACTGTGTTGTTAATTTCATCTATTTATATTCCAGATCAGAGAGACGTTCGTGAATACCTAACACTATACAATGGACGAATGGAAAAATATCGACACATACGCGTAGTCTTAACCGGCAAGGATGATGTCGGTAAAACTACCATATGTCGTCGTCTTCAGGAAAAAACTGTCAATCTCGGGTCACGACAACCAACTGTTGGAGCTGTGTTGCGTCCTTGTTGTTTCTCAGTCGACTTGGATTCTGGAACGTGGAAATATAATGATAATAGAATACTTTCTGATGTAGTAAAAAGTCGTTTGGGAACAGTGGTGTTAAGCCGTGACGAAGACAGTGAAACTGTTTTGAAAGAAGGTAATATACAGTAGATTGAAAGTATGAAAGCTATACAACTCCTTTCTGTTGACATTACTTAGCTACGCTCGCTTGGCTCAGTTTTAGAATATCATTCCTACAAATATCTTATAACCAAGCATATACATAATCGCATCTATCCCAATGTCAGGAAAACATTTTAATTGAAAAAAACATATCTTTCAGATAATGAAGTTCAGGCGCAAGTTTATTGAAAAAATAAGAAATATATCTGCATGAATACCCCATCAAAATAGTCTCATAAGTTATCGAAGAGGTTTAGTTGGCATTACAATGAAGAGAACATAATAATAATCTAACGAAATCTAATAGTATACTCAACTAAATAATAACGAATTGGATACAATGAATACATCTTTTAGTTAATAAAGAACGGTACATTGCAAAGTAGCAGGTCTATTATCAGTAAGTTTGACCTTATTCATTCATTCCTGCATTGGATAATTCACTTCGTTAATTCACTCTAGCAGTTCCTCTGATATAACCCTCAATCTGTACTACATAGTGTCTTAGACACCTGACCTAACTAAAAGTAATTAGTGTTACGTTACAAATTGTTTCCGCGGTTTCAAATGTTTATTAGTAAAACAGAATCACAAAGACACGTCTTCCAGTATTAGGTGAATAGATAAAGTATATACGAATAGCTTTGTAAAAAAATCATATAGGTGTTGTTACTTTTCTCCCAACACCGACTGCTAAATAATGTGCAGATGCACATATATCTCTGTTCTGATCGTATGCTTACATCCACATATTTTTTGAAAACACGGTTAAATGACATAGACATGATTAACATCTATAAATCGTGCGAAGAATGATGCTGATAGATCTTCTAAGAATTGTCGGCTTGATAATAAAGAACTGGGCATACGCATCAAACATGTCATTTCAATTTAGGTATTTGTAACCTTGTAATTTCATGAAATGAACTGGAAATCATCGGAGTTTCGTAATTTTTCTCTTCCTCTATCCTAACAGATTGTTTATTTAAAAGTGATATATAGTTTATCATAACTCTGTGACCTCTGATAATAGTTTCTGATAAACTAGAATAAGGTGATATCTGACCATTCACCTAACTTTGACTATTCAATTCACATTGAATTAAACTAAACTGACAATGCGGCCAATAATCTCTGTCTGTCTTGCTCGCGTGCATGCACCCAACTAATAAATAAAATGAAGTCAAAAAGGAGTCAGTACAAGTATAAGTAAACAGACTTTTTGGTAGTAATGGAGACAAAAACTAATAAAGTTTATGCACTTAAATATACTAACGAATATTAAGAAGATTTTTTGAAAGTCTATACTAAAACTTAATATACTTCTGTATCTGAAATTATATTAATACTATGACGAAAGGTCAGTCCGAATACCAATCCGTAACAATTTTAAAAAAACTATAGCAATAAAAAGCAAACTAATTCAGGACGAGAATGGACCTCGTTTAGCTAACGTGATCCATGAAACAAGTCCAGAGAACCAATGATTTTATGAACCAAAAATACATGACGGATAAGATATTGAGAAATATTTACAAATACACGGCACGAACGTGTGCATTAGTAAATAAATGCATATGTAATTTACATTATATTTCTTATTTTCGGGATTTTTTAGATAGTTTCTGATTAGTTTCAAAGTCTGTCAAGGTCTAAAAGGTATGACAACAAAACAAAATATACTTTTTATCACTAAATGTTACATTTTGACAGGTTTTAAGTAGAATAATGGAGGATCAACTCAAACAAAAGTAGGCATTTTTTTTGGCGTCGACAGTTCTTATTATAACATCAATGGCCACATTATATGCAAAACTATTATATGAGCGAACGCACTGAATACCAGACCAATTAAGCGATAAAAACTAAACTATTTCAATTACATAAACAGACATGAGTTGGGTAAATACAATGTAATATATAGTACATTCATCTAGTGAAGCATACAAAAAGAACTAATGCAGTAAAAAGGTGGAGCAAATTCGCTATGTTGGTTACAGATAACTTATATACTTTATTAGTAGCTGGAGAAAGCACAGAACGTTTGCAACAACTATCTATCAAACAATATTATGAGGAAGTTGACATAATCCCCGACGCAGATGTTTCCAACTCTGACGAAGCGTTCCTGTCTCTGTGGGATATGGGTGGACACATGTCGTTCCAGGCTTCACACAGCGTCTTCATTTCTTCGCACGGCGTGTACCTTCTAGTCTTCCGATTGACCGATTTTCTAGAAGAAAAACTGGAAACAGGCAAGTAACTGAACAGCTACTTGATAGTGGCCGGTATTGGTAGGCGTTTTTAATGGTAAAGTTAAATCTACTAGTTTGTTGCTAGCAAAAAACGATTTCAGAAATATTTGAGTGAATAGGCCATGTAATTAATGACATGATTTGCCACCTTATCACCTGAAAGATGACCCCACATGACAAAACTCATATGCCATGTATATCTTGCAATTTTTTTTTCAAATGTTAACAAAACCAGTAGGAAATTAGAGTGTGACATTGCGATGACTACACGGTCACCTTCATCAGACAGATGACCAGTGATGAGCGTACTAGCACTGACGTACTTAGTGTACGAAGAATAAAGGCGTGACCACAGCAAATCGACACACAACTATTTTCTGCAATTTGCATTATAATCCTATGTACACTCAATTTAAAAATACCTGTAAACGTGATGGTCAAGCAGATTATACAAAACAATACGCCAGGTGGTTACTGTTGTCTTAAATGTGCTTTAATGAATACAAAATCATATATCTGTAAGTATACAAAATTTCGTTTTAAATGAAGCCCGATATCATACTTAATTTCTGGTTTAAAGTTCACCCTGCGTTTCTTTATCCTTTCAGTATACCATTGACTGGGAAAATTACAAAATAATCGACAATGAAAACAACGTTTTCAGACGGCTGGTTGAGGAAGCCATCTTGACCACACTGGTCGTTTGTCTGATCAAGGTGACCGTGTAGTCATCGAAATGTCATAATCTACTGTTTGTGTTATAAGAACTTATATTCTCTGGCCAGCTTATTGCTGTCCTAGTTAAATATGGGAAACAACTATTTACCAAAGCTAGACATAACTAGAACATGTGATGAAACAATACGAAGATTTGCCGTAAAATTGTCTATCATTGCTGAAAGCAATTAATGTAATTCAATATCTACCTTTTATAATAACGTTATATATGAACATCTTAAAACGGGTAGTAACAGAATGATTAATTTGTGCAAAAAAAAAAGAATTCCTACTAACGTAATGTATCAACATTTCTATTTTATTTTAACGTTATGAAAAATAACTGATGCGAAGCAGCAACCTGAGGATCATGAAAGCAAACCATGTCCCATCTCGTGCCCCGCAAGCTAAGAAACGTTTCAAATAAATGGCGTTTGATGATAATCGCTCAAGGTTGAAGCCATTGGTGCTCTGACAATGACGAAAAACTTACAGTAACATTAACTTTAACCTAATAACCCTGAAATTAACTAGAGCACTTACAATGATTTTGGCTCGCCTGGCCCAAAGGGCAAATAAGTTTATTCCTTAGCGAGGTGTCGGTCGTCCGTCTTCGGTCCGTCCGTCTGTCCTTTAGACACTTTCTTCTCAATGACCAATGGACCAGATATTTCGATACTTGGCTGGTATGTTCCTAGGATAAAGACTGACAAATCTTGTAATAAGCAATGGGTGAAGATTGACAAACTTTGCGTAAAGAAATTAGCCATGTTCAAGAGGGATCAAATTTATTTAAACCTTTAAACGACTTCTACTCATGAACTGAAAGGCCTTGAGGCATGGTGTCTGACTGGTTCGTTTCTAGTTAAAACTTGACAATGTTTGCGAACATAAATGACCTAGACGTAAATTCAAGGTCACTGGGATCTTATTTGTTTAAACTATTAAACGACTTCTTTTAGCGTTGCTGGTCGGACACTTTTAAATTGAGTATTTAGCTAAATGTTCCATAAAAGTTTAATGCATTGATCTCATCAACTATTTTTGAAACTGATAATGCTATCCCGTAACGGTTTCACACAAGAAATCCTTTTTCGTCTTTTTTCCCACCTGTAATGATTGTTTATTGGTTTGATAGTCCGGCTGAAAAAATGGATAAGAATGATTGGCACGTTTTCCGCAGCCGAACTGGATGCGCATAAAACAAGATCGCATGCTCCTCCAATCATTTTCGTCGGCACATTTCTTGATAAGTTGAAGAAAAACAACAAGGTGCGTAATGAAAATTCCCAGTATATATGAAATTGATAATAACCCGACTGTAATTTGGATATTTGAAACAACTTTGACGATTAATAAGAGTGCCCTTAATTATGTTGACGGTAAGAGTCACACAGTGCTAGCGTTCTCGTTTTTCCTCAAATAATGATGATTGCAGATGTAGCTGGTGGCATAACTTGCTTCAAACTTTTATTGTAAAAAATAAAGTCTATAACTTAGCTTTTCTTTAAAAGTATTTATATATATATGAAAAAAAAGAAATTGCAAACGTTTCAAAATGGCGAAGTGATCAGGCTTATCATGAATATTGTAAAGATACTGTTTTATTTTTGTTTCAGGACTACGATAAACAACTCAGGAACATACATTTAAGCATCTCAAAATTTCCCGAACTCTCTGCACACCGTTTTGTCAGGTTCTGTACAGTCGACAACAGTCTCGACAATAAAGCTGAAGACCTAAATTTACTGAGAGGTTACATCAAAGAGGCAGCTGTTCATCAGGATCAGTGGGACAGACAACTGCCAGTCACGTGGCTACGACTCGAAATGGATTTATTGAAAGCAAGAGAAAGCGGAACGAAGATACTCACGTTAGCGGAGGTTATCAAGATGAACGAATCATCTTTAGTAAAATTGTCCGGTGTGGATGAGATCAAACTTGCCCTGGAGTAAGTTTGTGTGCATCAATAGATAATAAATATATAGCAAATGTGTCTCATATATTGATATTTGAAATCTGAAGGCCTTAAAATCAAAATTCCGTTGCCAAATGGCTGTATCATGTATTGTCCGTATATTGAACTATATGAGATGAACATAGATATTTAATTTTGCATGTTATTTGATCTCTGTTCAGAATTTTACAGATATACAGATATTATTATCTATGTTATAGTCGTTTACTGTCTAGGACATAAGTGAATATTTATTCAGTCAATTGATTACTTGTCTCCGTTGGTTTATTACGTAAAAGTATTTAAACGCATTTCGCAATAGAAAGCTTGAGTTGTTTCTTCGCGACTTCATTTTTACTTCAGCTTGATATCTCGTCAACACGAATCCTATTTCACCTAAATTTGATCGGAAATGTGTCATTCCATTCAATATTCATACGTAAGATGTGATACATGATTCGGCATTAAAATACATCTACAATAACGGATGAAATATAAAATCTTATACACATATGTATATGTGTGTGTCATGACAGCTTACAAAACAAAGCTTGCAAGTAGAAGTCAAAACCACCAACGACATTTAGTATTCACACAGCATCATCATCAGACATAAGCATCATCATCAGACATAATTGACATAGCATCATTATCAGACGCAAATCACAAAGTATCATCAGACACAGCTCACACAGTATCATCATAACATATCTCACACAATATATAATAAGACACAGCTCACAGTCACCTCATCGGACACGGCTAAAACATTAATATTATTAATCCCACCTTACACAATATCACCATCACATACAATTCACACACTATCCCATACAGCTCACACAGTATGATCATCAGATACAGATCACACAGTATCAACAGTCACAGCTAACACAGAAGCATCATCTGCCACAATTCACACAGTATAAACATCATATACAACTCACACAGTATCGTAATCAGCCAAAGCTAAAACAATATCATCATAAGATCAAGCTCACACAGTATCATCCTTACACACGGCTAACACAGTATCATCATCAGACACAGCTAACACAGTATCATCATCACACACAGCTCACACAGTATCATCCTTACACACGGCTAACACAGTATCATCACCAGACACAGCTAACACAGTATCATCATCACACACAGCTCACACAGTATCATCCTTACACACGGCTAACACAGTATCATCATCAGACACAGCTAACACAGTATCATCATCACACACAGCTCACACAGTATCATCTTTACACACGGCTAACACAGTATCATCATCAGACACAGCTAACACAGTATCATCATCACACACAGCTCACACAGTATCATATAATATACAGCTAACACAGTATCATCATCACACACAGCTAACACAGTATCATCATCACACACAGCTAACACAGTATCATCATCATACACAGCTAACACAGTATCATCATCAGATACAGCTAACACAGTATCATCATCCGACACAGCTAACACAGTATTATCATCTGATACGGGTCACACAGTATCATCATCAGACACAGCTAACACAGTATCATCATCATACACAGCTAACACAGTATCATCATCAGACACAGCTAACACAGTATCATCATCACACACAGCTAACATACTATCATCATCAGACACAGCTAACACAGTATATCATCATCACCCCACTAACACAGTAACATCATCAGACACAGCTAACACAGTATCATCATCAGACACAGCTAATACAGCATCATTGTTTTGTTTACAGAGTGCTATGAGTGACCAGCCATAGTGAACAGACACTTATATATATATATATGTATATATATATATTCAGACATAGGACACACAAATAAACCGTGCACAGTGTCCCCATGTAGTCATATTATCTAACTTAGTCAAGATGAACGCTGATTACAAGTTGTATACTAAGGCATCAGTTATGTTTTTATTTAATTATTATAAATGTGTAAAATACATTAGGTATTTATAGTAAGTTTTGTATCAGTATGTCACGTAAAGCAATCAAATTTTTTCGTACCCAACTTTCTCTCTCACAGAAAAATAAGTTATTTAGCGAATACTTTATAACTTTGTTATTTCACTGCACGGGATGCGTGGTTAACCTTTGAACTATCATTTCTATATTTCTTCTTAGATACCTTCACTGCACCAGGTCTGTGATTTATTTTCGGGAGTTTGATTACATCATCACCGACCCCCAGTGGCTTGCTGACTTCTTCAGTATCTTTCTTACCGATGACCAGTTTCTCCCGAGTGACGACCCCCTGATGACCCGAGACCTGGATCTGTACACAACAAAGGGCGAATTGACTCAGAAATTAATTGAAGGTCTTCTGAAGCTGACAAAGAATCGTGCTTTCATTCCATATCAATCCGTTCTTTTGGCGCTGATGGAAAAATTTGGATTGATAGTGAAAATGGTGACGTCGTCAGGATCCGCAACTAAACAGTTCAGTGAGACGTATACGATCCCTAGCAAACTGATGGAGCTGCAAAACATGGATGTGATAACCAGTGCAGTCACCAGCCTGAAGCGCAGTCTTCGCGCCATTTCTAAAGCGTTATGCTTCGTATTCACCGATGTATACGTACCTGACGAGTTGTTTCACAGAATCTTCGCCCACATCCTTAGGATGTACACTCCAACATCACTGTCAACACGAAGCCTCCAAACTACGACTGAAATAGACCAGACGAGGCCGAGACGTGAACACGTGTGTCTTTATAGAGGTTTTGGGTGTTTTGAGGTCAACGACATCTGTAGATTTATCATTTCCATGCATCCAGAGAGGTCCACAATTGTTGTGACTGTATTCAGTCCAACGGAAGCCCATTTCCCCGCAGATAGTGGAAAACAAGTCAGACTCTCAATAGAAGAAATTATTCGTGACGCCTTGGAAATGAGTAACCAGCAACACTTTCAGTATACACATCAACTACACTGTAACTTCTATCTGAGTCCATACGACACCCCTGTACACCGGTACGGCGTCATCAACTCGAGATGGGCGTACCCTGTAAAGGGGAAGATTGTCAAAAACGGCACATACTGTCGAAAACAGACACCTCATTTTGGAACATAACACAGGTAACTGTCTGTCTGTATGTATGTCTCTCTGTCTGTCTTGCTGGCTGTCTGTCTGTCTGGCTACCTAGTTGTCTGTCTGTCTGACTGCCTGTTCAACCAGACACTTTCTGGATGGTTTCGTCATCATTTCCGACAATGAAATTTTATTTTATTACTTATTATAAAAATCAAAATATTCTTGTCCAATATTTTTAAGGAGTATTTGTGTCTTATCAAGATGAGTTCGAGGTGTAAAGTATCAGATCAAATTAGGTCTTTATTTTATTGATGTTTTCTCTACAACAACACTACTCATATGAACGATATATTGTTGAAGATTTAAGTGAATATATGTGGTCCTTATCATTCTATATTTGTTTTAGGATTCCGTTCAAGCGAAAGGGTCAAACATTGGTGAGTGTTTATATATATATACATATAACTAAGTAAGCGTATTTAAATACTAAGAAAGTTGTTGCTTAACAAAAACTTTCTTTGTTGGTTTATTTCAATATACATGGACAAAATTGTGGTTTCTTTGCATAGAAATCTATGTGAAAACATTGATATTTATGATATTATATATTTGTTTTCACTGAGACGTCAGGTTAATGACTCAATAGCAACGTAAGATCCATTATTCTCAATTTTATTTCGCTCCGCTAAGAGCTATTTAGTTCTGTCCACAACTTCACCAAAAAATATATATTTTAAGATCACAAATTAGTCCATATTATATTTTCATCTAAGATGTAACTGGGAATATTTTTGTTATTGATATGTTTTAGAAACGACGAATGGTGACACGACATTTCCAAACAGAAGGCCAACCGCGCGGGAACTTGGTCGCTTGTCCTATATAGTAAGCGCGTCTTCTTATGAGCTGCTGTTTGTTGAGCTTGGAGTTCCTTACCCAGAAATCGAATGCATGGAACTTGAGTCATCAGAATTAGCGGCAGTTACTCTGATCACCAAGTTGTTTCTGAAGTGGACAAACATCTACCCGAATCAGACATTCCATCACATCGTCCTGGCTATGAAGGAACATGACATGGCAACTGATCGGATTGTTGAAACAGTGGAAACAGAACTAGGACCACAAGGCGAAGGTAATAAGATATCAATTTGTATGGCTCACTCTGTGGTTATTAAATATTATCTTATTTACTGTTTGCTTTATATGTAAGAGATCAGGAACAGGTATATGTTGAAGTGAAGCAAAACTCATCATTTTAAGTCAGTTTACGATCTGTGTAGCTTCTGTTCATTAAAACGTCATATCATGAACAAGTTCCCACCGAATGATACTCATAGATTACTAAGTCATTTTGGTGTGTAATATTTATTGATTTCTATCGCCAATGTAATAAACTAAAAGCATGCAAGCTTTCTTAATTTTCTCTTCCTGACATATGTAGGCAATAATATTATTATATAAATGTTCTTATCATATGCAAAATTAGTATGACATGAGTATCCCTCATTGATTTTCGGCTATGCCATGACAATTCTAATTCGCGGCTACATTAAGCAGTCGTACATTCAATGAGGGGTAGCATTAGACCATTTAAAAAAAACTAACAATGATTCTTAACGTTAGCTGAATTTGGTGTCGTCATTATATTGTTGTTGTGATGATACACTGAATTCAGCATGTACACAAAGCGCTACAGCCCATATCTGCAAATGGTGCAAATGTGAAATCAAAACAGTCCTCTGGTTAGAAAATTCGGATCAACATTTGATTCCATCATACCTACCATTCAGTATTGTTAATATAGATCCAAACTTAAATGTATAGTATATATAAATATCCATTTGATCTTACTACGTCATCATGCTTGACATTCTAAAAGTACTTGATGAAAAAAATCAAAGCGAAAGTAAATAAGATATGCCAAAACATGTAACTGTCCTATACAATTAATTATGCTTTCCCACACGTCCACAGGATAGAACGTTTTGCAATCGACTAACAATGTCGAACTGTTGTTCTAACTTATTTAAGTTTAATCTTCAGCATTTTCACGAATGCATGTTTCGAAACTTTGTCAACTTTAGTCAAGAAGTGAGCAAAACGACAAATAAGCGATGTACGTCATAAATTCGGATGCAAAAATATGTAGAGAAATATGAGAACACTTATTTCAGAGAATATATTTCAATGTCCTCATTTTCTTCGAAATGTTTTATTGATTTTCACAATTTCTAAATGTATTTTATATTTCATCAATAGCTTATATATTTGTAAGTAGTTTCATCTCATGTGTCACTTTTTCCATCTTGCCTAAAGATTCTGTCACATATCTTGTTCAATTTTTTCATCTCTTTGCTATAGTGTCTTGTATTTCTGTTTTATTTAGTTCCTAGAGAGGTTTCGGACAGAGTTCCAACTGATTATGAAATCCAACTCATCATCAAACACATCGGCCGCGATTTCTTCAACCTCTGCTTGGAGATCGGATTATCACCTCCAACCATAGAGCAACAAAGATGTTGTAATCCTAGCCACTTTGGGGAAATGATGACAGCTCTTTTGCAGTGCTGGAAGAGGACTTTCCCTAAGGAGGCTACTATAGGCAGGTTGTTGACGGCCATGAGAATGTGTCGCATGGACTGGCATAAAACAGCACAAGTCTTGAATAAGTGAATGTATCAGGGAATGAAGATTCTAAACAAAGACGTTAAGTCAAGTATGCAATTATGTAACACAAAAATTTAAACCCCGTGTTATTTTTCCTTACATTAGTGTCCTTATACATATTAGATTAACTTTTTTCATTAATATATATTAATTAGCATCTTCCTAATTTCGGTAATGAATTGATCTATCAGGATATCTAACCGTAAGACATTTTAATATCATTATTGAGTCATAGGAGGAATCCAACTCTTAAGGAATTTTATGCAAGTGATTCAGAAGTCGATGAGATATGTTTTGTATTTTCAGTTATCACTTATGTCCGCTATTTACTTTTGTTCTAACTTTTTGTACATTTTGTCTTTACATAGAAGTCCCTAGTGATTAGGTTCTCGGATACCACTGGCATGAAACATGCATGTAGATGTTTGTAAAGATTTGATTGACAATAAGTAACCCAGAATGATACTGGCAGAATGTCATATCTATCCACACATATACGATACTAGCATGCTTTCAACGCTGGTTATAGTAATATTTACATTTGTGATTAAAGGGTCAGTCTATTGTAGGTTATATATATATATATAATACACTGCCGAACGAGTAAAAAAACCTGAACGTCGTAAAGATATATTGGAAATGGGATTTCATGATAGATTTTAAAACTTCTAAGTGACAACAGTCTTTTACGATAAAACGAATATCAATAGTTTGCATGTGTTCTGTAAAACGAAGACGGCTCTGTAATATGTCGATGTTGATACTGTGATATTCAGTGATTATCTGAATGTAATTATGTTGATTGTCCATTATACATTACCAATGTGATAACTTGATCAGTAAAGTTAACATGTCCACGAGAGAGATGGAAATATATTGCAAGATAAAAACGTTTAAAGTAGTGGAGCTATTGCCTTCTTAATGGGTAAGTTTAATAAGTAATTATCTACATCGGTACAGCCTAAACAAGGGGACAACACTTTTCCCCTATATGCAATGAAAATTGAAAGGGTTTGAACACAAATTTATGCTTTTCTTTGCTTACGTTTACAAAGCGTTCATACAAGTTTGTTTTAATCAGCATCAGCGTTTACAAAAATTGAGATTTGAGTCAGTGTTAAAACCTTAAAAATAAAATATCTGATAAGTATAACGTAAGGCATACAGTTCAAAAATACTTTCCTCTCCGTCACAACAAATTGTGAGTTCTATTTTTAACGCTATGTATTAGTAGGATGTTGGAAGTTTTATATCATTACCTTATATTTTATTATTATTATTAATATAAAAACATTACTGTATAACCTTGTATCACTTGTAGTATAGAGCTTATGTTAAAGATAAGTAACTGAATTGACCAATTAACGTGATGACTATCGTATGTCTATTTGACTTTGCTTTATTTTCCTTTATCTTGATCTTTAAACTTTTATCATGTCCTGTTCTGAAGAAAAGGGAACATTCGACAAGGGTTTTTTTTCATCTTCGCATGCAATGATTTCGACCTGTATTGAATTCACCTCCAAAGTGATAACCAAATGTTTTATCTACACCTATAAACTAGAACACCTTTACGTTTCACTCATGTGCAACACGGCGAAATGATCAAAAGTTAAACTACCGTAAAAGCTTTTCTGGTCATGCGTGCTTATGCATTATTTTGTACCATTTTTAATTTCGTGACTTATATACTATTTTTGCTGTGGAAGTGTGTCGTTATCTTTAGCCTAAATAATACTGTATATAAACTCCTTAACAACAAATAAATAAAAGTAAGAAAAAAACAGACATTTGATATCGTAGTATAGCCATCTTCAACTTGTTTGCTTGATAAGGATTATGGGTCCATTCATTAAAGATTTTTAGCAATTTTTGGACATACAATATATAAAGAATTGTTATTATGAGATGTAATGATGTTGTTCAACGAATAAACAAAGGTAAAATAACCGTTGTTATCATAAACGAACCGCTTGTTTGACTACACTTGTTGGTATATCATATCTTACATATGTACAGAGTGTACGATAAAAATATGTACTTATTTATCTATATTATAAATGAAAGAGCATATATCCAGAAATTATGAAATTTATTTTTCTTTATTAATTACATCACCGACATATTTACATTTCAAATACGTCACAATACAACATAAAGAATATAACATCGTCTTCAAATTTAATTACCTGTATATCAACATATCAATTATCCCAACGAAAACTTGAATATGACGACAACACAGAATATACGCGTTATAGTAACGATTGCTCCCCATACAACGACTTGATTTAAATACATTGACTTGGCTTTTTAAGATATTTCATATAATCGTCGCACACCTTTTTGTAAACTAACATATTTTTACAATCGAATAGTTGTGTACTTCATTATAATCAAATGGACATTACATTCTTCGAAATGATTACAAAGAAACAATGAGAAAATACTAACACGTGAACATAATCATAATCCAAACCCATATTCAATAAAACTAGGGCAAAATATGAACAAAAGAGTTACGGAAACACCTGAAAAAGTACAAGGAGAATAAGACCAGGTGTTCAGGCCCAGTACGCGTCTTTTGCTTCATTCACGACACCCGCCATCTTGGTCAATGCAAGTAAGTAATTTCACGTTCTCAAAAGACAGCAAGGTGTAACACAACGGAGGCAAACTAATGAGTATCAAACACTTCCAGCTTCATATCCCACAATATTTCTCAATGCGATCACTGCGACGCCCGCAAAACTTCCCCATAACTTCCACCGACCTACATCTGTTGTCAGTTGACGACATTTTTCACAAAAATATTGATATTGGGAACAGGCCCTTGAACATTGAAAAAACTGAAGCAACGTAAGCACTATAGATTGGTAATGCAGGGAAAATTCACAATAGGGAAATTGAAGTCATCACGCTTATAATACAGCTTGATGGAACGATGTCATGTCGGTCTTTTTGTCGTGTCCTTTATAATAATATCAACTAGGAACACATCTGATTTACTGTTCGCTATCAGCAATGCGCACATCTTTAACTCCACCATACTTGAAAGGACAGTGTTTAAAATGTATTTCAATTCGCTTAGTAGAAGAAATGTGTTAAGTTATTAATATAAGATATGAACTGACACCATCGAAAACTTTAAAATTATCTAATGCGGGCCAGTCCTATCATCAAGTGCGTTATTTATGTGTGGCAACCACTCGCCGTTTCTTCCCTCCTCCTTCATATCTAAATGAAGGTGACCTCTGCTGTTAATGCAAGCATTTGCATAAGCTGATTCTGTTGATGGACATTTTGTCAAGATGTTTGCCATGTTTTAATCCATAGAGTGACATGTTTAATAATTTACACGTGTGTTTGACGTTCTATTAAAGTACCATTTGGAATGGAATGCATTGATATTAAATGCATGATGAGTCCATTGAAGTTTACGCTTCCCACTGCGCAGTGTCACATCGTAAGAGCAATCATTCATTAACAGATGCCGCTCAATATGTGTCCTTTAATTTTCTGCGTAGAAATAACTGGTTATGTTATACCTTAATTGGCCTTTCCAGCCATCAGGTGGATCTTTGACTCAAGCTATATACCGGCAGGGTGATCCAAGCCCTATCAGGAACTTGTCGGCTACCGCCGCTGCATGTTATTGTCTCCCAGCCTGGTGCGACAGATGTATGTGCAATTTCTTCCTGTGGCAATAATGTATTATTTAACAAATTTATATATATATATAGATATATGATTTGAATGAAGTACTACATGAAAAGAAGACCGGATACTCGACCTATGTTTCGGAGTTTGTATACTTATATATGCAACCAAAAAAGTCACCTGAAAGTGAATTTAATAAATTGAATAAACATTTTTACTTGATACCAGTCTTGGATTTCAGACATCGAGGAGACCGCCAGTCTTATTTCGCATTCACAGTGAGCGAAAAGTGTGTAGATTAAGTATGTTGTATTCTAAGTTGCTTTCTTTGTTGGTAACTTATATGTGATCAAAGATATTTTTTCTCTTCGTTGGTTCCCTTCATTAGCTATAGGATACCATACATGCCCTCATCCACAGGAAACACTGCTGCAGGCAACAATGTTTTGATGCCTTTCTTAAGTATATATCCCAGGGAAGATCATAATATAATTTGCTATTTTGGCAGTTTAGTTAGAGGCAATATTCATTTGTTGCAGTGTAAATATCGTCATTGTACTTGAAAGTTAAGCAAAAAGTCACCATGGTAAGTTTCACGTCCAGATCACTGGAATCTTCCTGTAAATGTAACCATTAGTATCCAGATATTGTTAACAACAAGTTTTAGTCTGACAGGCTCCATGAAACATAAGTTTCAGGATTTGGAGTCCGAACAGGACAGCTAAGCATGGCATGAGCCGGTACCAGTTCTACATCATTATACAAGGTCGAACGACCTGCAGTTGCTGAGGCATATGAATGACGTTGTATAACTAACTAACCACGATGAACATATTTCTATGGGCCATTTAACAGATACAGTTATCTAGTAGTCTCCAATGATAAGGTAATGTTCTGAATAGACCTCTGTACTAAAATTATGATTAAGAAGTGTTAATTTTGACAGGCAATCGTTAGATTAATTTTGGTAATATATGCTTTCAATTGGTAGGGCCTCAACCTGTTGCGGACTGTTTGTGGAGACACACGACGCCCAAACAATGCCCTTGTAGTCTCTACTGCGGTTACGAATCGATTCCCAGTCCAGAGAAAGGGCGTCCACAGCCCAAGCCTTCGAATCTGGGACCGGAGAGGAAGGTTGGCAGCTGATTGTTCAGAGAAGTGGCAAACAGATCTATCAAAGGCCTGTCCCACACCTGACATATTCCCCGGAACACCGAGGGACACAGCTGCCATTCCGTCAACACCGGTTGGCGGCGCCTGGAGAGGGTATCCGCCAACACATTCAGCCTGCCCGGAAGATGTTTGACCGCAATGGTCAATTGCATCTCCTGACAGAGGAGAAGGATGCGGATGGA